GTAGCCTTAAATATTTTTCAAGGCCCAAGTTCTACAAAATATTTTTTTAGGGGGAAAAAAAAAAAGTCAAAGGAAGTCTAACACAGCCTATTGCAGTAAGAGCAAGTAGTCACTCAATATATGTAAATAAAGTTGTACTGTGAAAGAATCCCTCATGAAAATAGTAACTGTTTTCATAGTAAAGTCCTTCTATTAAAGTAGGATTATCTTTTCCATTGACTTGTTGGTTTGACTTCTCTTTCCTTCCCCACCCAGCCTCCAATAATCTCATGGTTCAGGAAATGCATTTTTAATCACCTTTATTTCCCAATCTTGCATTCACACACTGACCCTTTTCATCAGAAGAAATAGGATACATGCCAACAAATGTTCACAGAATCACAGACTGATGGAGGTTGGAAGTGACCTCTGGAGGTTATCTTGTCCAATCCACCCCTGCCCAAGCACAGTCATCTAGAGCCCAGCTGCCCAGGACCATGTCCAGATAGCTTTGGAATACCTCCACGGAGAGAGAGACTGCACCACATCCCTGGGCACCCTGTGCCAGCACTCAGTTACCATCACAGTAAAAAAGTGTTCCCTGATGTTCAGAGGCAACCTTCTGTGTTTCAGTTTATGCCCTTGGCCTGGCACTTGACACTACTGAAAAGTGCCTGGAGTTGTCTTTGTACCCTGTCTTCAGGTGTTTATATACACTGGTAAGATCCACTTGAACCTTCTCTTCTCTAGCTCAGTTCCAGCTCTCTTGGCCTTTCTTCATAGCAGACAGGCTCCAGTCCCTTCACCTTGATGGCCTCTCCAGTATATCTATGTCTTCCTAGTAGTGGGAAGTCCAGAACTGGACACAGTTTTGATCACTATATTTCTCATGCAAAAATAACAACAATATCTCCTATTGGTTTAAATTACATTGGCAAGAAAAAGCACTTAATGGACTTCAGTTAGTATTTCCTAGGCAGCTTCAACCTAACTAAAATGCTCTGAAACTGATGAATCATTCTTTAACTGAAATAAAAACTATCAAGTTTAATCGGTGCTCCTTTCAATTTCAGCCAAAGGAATAGGGGGGAAAAAAAGGAGCACAGAGCCTCTAAAACAGCTTGAGGAAACATATCCTGCCCTCACGTAAGCATATTCTAATAATGACAGCTTTGTGTAAGCACCTCCTGAGGCATTACAGCATCTGAAGAAACCATCTTAAGAGAGAAAGATGAGAGACTTTGACAGTGTCCCTACCCGTCTCAGCCTGAAGGAAGTTTGAGCCACAGCACAGAAAGGATGGCTTTACAAAGCAGTGAAATACGCATAACAAAAGCACAACAGAAAGGTTACAGTCGGGAAAGTTTAAGGGCTATGGGCAGCAATTAGCTGCTAAAACACACACATATGCCCCCTTAGGAGTTATCAGAGTCATTGCACTTTGGCTGACCAACATAGTTGCTTTATCAGACAAGCTAAAGAGAGCAGCACCTCCCATTCTGTCACATTATCAGCCAAAAATAACAGTCTCAATTCTGCCCTATCTCACTCACGTAAGTAGTCCCATCAATTTTTCCAAGAGATGCAACAAATCCCAGGGTTTAGGAGTAATTTTATTTTTAGCTGCTTCACAGTAAGACTTCCATGACCCAACCAAATCAGTGCTGCACACTGCAAAAACTAAAATAATCTGCCCCTACCATTAACAGTTTATATGCCAAAACAAATGATCAGAACACAGGATGGTGATGGGGACACAGCTGAATGTGACCCTAGTTTTGAAACAGGATAATCTGCTTCACACCTGTGGGGTAATCTACTTCACACCTTTGCTGGTTTTTAAAAATTAAAAAGCTCTGTATTTTCTAGTACACTGTAAAGGAGGTAGAACTCCATTTCCTGTACAAAGGAGCAGGCTGTCCATGATGGGAGTGGAGATAAGCAAAGCCACTTCCCTTTGATCCAGCAAGCTGTTACCCTAGTGAAGATGCTAAGCCATCCTGAGCAAATCCTTCACTGCCCAAGTTATCAACCCAGTTATCTGGGGCATTCTCCTCATCTACGCAGAGATTTCTTTCCAAGAACATAGGCCTCAAAGGTGAGGAAATAATTTTTGACCAGATTCTGTTACTGTAGCAAAATCTGATACATGTAGGCAGTACTAACCTATATTCCCCCTTTTTCTGCCTGTGTTTAAGGGCAGTCACTTCTACGCAACTTCCTTGAGGACTGATGGCAACATTCCTTCAGATCCCAGGGCCCACAGCTCTTCAAATTTGCTATGGAGAGACCTCAGGGTGCCAGCTAGAAAACTCAAGTCTGGCCTGATACAGTGTCTTTGCCTTCAAAGGACATAGCCTTCAGCTGCAAGAATTCCTCAACTTCAGAAAATGAAAGTCCAAACTCAGGCTCCCTACAGATGCTGTCATCACTTTTGGCAGGCAACACAGAATCCTTTCTAAGAAGGATTGTAGATGCACAATACTGGGGAAAGGCCTCTCAGACACTTCAGGTAACAACTTGAAAGCTGCCAGCACAAATTCCTTACATTAATACTGTTGCATGCTAAAGCCACTCAGAACTTCATTACATAAATAATATTCAAATATTTAAGATCAGACACCACACCAAAACAATCATTTACACTGACAGGTTTCTCTGGCTTTCTTTAATAGCTAACTTGTAACTTCCAAACCAATCATACCTTCACTTTCCTCCTAAAAGTGCAGGAGTCAGGAGTAAGAGTCAAAAACACAACAAAAAAACTTTACTTCCTGTAGAACGAGTAACACAATGAAATGACTGTAGATACAACCATTACTCTGGTATGAGCTTTAAAAAGTTTAGTGTATCATTACATATACTTTGGATCAATATATAATTGAGGATATGATTGTTAGCAGCTTTTATTAACTGTGATCATGTGAGATTTTAAATTTTACCTTAGTAACCTGACAATATTTCATTTTGAATTCACATATGCTCTTATCTTGCAGCAACAGTTATTAATAGAAAGGATTATGGGTATTAATCAACTGGGAACACAAGTACATGTTCCATAGGAATAATAAAAGCCATAATCAACTCCTCAGGTTCTTGGGTTTAATGAGGAATCTGAAGGTAATCCCATCTAGTTAAATATAGACTTACAGGAGTAACTACTTACCTGCAGAACAGAGCTGTTCAATCCACAGCATCGACAGACAGTGTACAGACCTGCACGTGGCACAGAATATCCACCTCCACAACCCAGCTGCTATTCTTAAGACACATCCTTAAGTCCTGCAAGTCTTTGGGGATTGCTATCCCACATACTTACATAACCACCTATTCCATTTTCTAACTAAGCCATCAGCTAAATACTAGACTACAGCTCTCAAAAGGGAAAGCTCAGGAGCAAGTGGGGATAGAATCTCTGCAGGATGAAGAGAGATTCTCCAGTTCTAGACAGGCTCCTGTTTTTTGCCTTTACAACTGGACTTTCAGACCCCTTTAGCTTTCGTCAAGTTTATTACCAGATGGTGATAAAATTCTGCAAAATGGCAGAACATAAATGCAGAACATGATAGCAAAAGGCCTTACATACAGTAAGATGGGACACTGTTTTCCAAAACTGCAATTCAGACTGTAGGATTTTGTATACATAAATATGACTGTTTGTTTAGCGCTGTGGTATGAACCTTTATTTTATTTTAATTTATATTACTCAAACATAAACAAGGCAGTATTATGGAAGACAAAGACACCTAAAAAATTAAGCCAAAACAATTCCACTTGTGCAGCCTGAACAGATGCTACTTTCAGTACCTTTAACTGGAAGCCTGTGTCCTTGGAAGTCTTGTTTTTTCTCTCTTTTATCTGGTAATTTCCCCACTAAAGATACTTTGCCCATCCTGGTAAGACCTGGTCCCAGTGAATTTGCAGTTTTATCTGGATACCTCAGACAGTTCCAGCCAAAACCCACTTAACCACTGCCAGCTTGCTTCTGAATTGAATATTCTGAACAGGACAGTCAAGTAGCCTCAGATGTGCCTAAAACAATTAGCACAGCCTCATTTCATCAGACAATAAAGCCCCAAGCTATCAGTTATATATTCCTGTCAACTCTATCAGGAAGAATACTCAGCTAAAAAACAGGAACTGAATGCTTCCTGCAAAAGTTGATTTGTTGAAAATTATTATTTCAAGAGCATGCTGTTCTCAACATTCCATTTCAGACTAATTGCAGTTAAAAATATGAAGTTTCTCTTGTCTCTATTTAATCTGTAAATTCTAAAATGAATGCTAGTGAGGACATCATATTGCAGATAACTTAAAACACTTCAGACCTTCTCTCTCTCTCCAACTACACGAAAGGAGGTTGTAGTGAGGTGGGTGCTGGTCTCTTTTCCAGATTAGCAATCAGTACGACATAAGGAAATGGTCTCAAGGCATGCCAGGGGAGGTTTAGATTGGATATTAGGAAAATTTCTTCACAAAAGGGTTGTGAAGCATTGGAACAGGCTGCCCAGGGAAGTGGTTGAGTCACCATCCCCAGAGTGATTTAAAAGCTATGTGCATATGTGGCACTGAGGGACACAGTTTAGTGGTGGACTTGGCAGTGCTGAGTTAACAGTTGGACTTGATGATGTTAGAGGTTTTTTCCAACCTAAAGATTCTCTAATTCTATGAGAAATACAGAAAGGCAGCCTCCCATCACAGTGGTATGTGATTGGCAAGTGAGAGAAAGCATCACATCTTTAACTTCGCCACTGCCACCATGACTGCAGCTACAGTTGCCATGAAGACACAAACCTGCATTTCAGTATTCTGCAAAACTGAAGAAAAACATTTTTGTTGACCTCAGCTGATAAAAAGGCTTTAAGTTCTTGTAATAAACATCGTGGCAGAGCCCTGTTGTTACTTTCGAAAGAAGTCATATTTGTGATTGAGTTTCTTTACGCAAGACAGATGAAACTTCCACAAACAAATATCAAGCATAGGTTTCTCTTACACAGAAAACATGGAAACTGACACTGTACCTTACTGTCCTCATCTTCAAAGACAGACTGGTGAACATTGCAGGCAAAGAGAGAATTCGGGAGATCGTTGAAATCAATTATTTCATGAAAATCTTCCTCTGCAAAACATCTCTTTAAACTGTTGTCTCCATTTATAGAGTAGAGTAAGAACTGTCCTCCATCCTCCGGGATGCAGCCGTAGTGACCGAGGCCCCGCATTCCAAAGAAGTATGAGTCTCCCCTCATCCCTGGCAGCATGGAAAACAGACACACCGTTACGCTACATACACAAGTTAACCCAGAAATTCTTAGTTTGAAGAAACTAAATGTCACATTATTTTAAGGCAACAACTAACCCCTGACCCAGGGCACTAAGACTAGTTTCACCAAGGTTCATAAAGGGCCTTGGTTTTAGCTTAATTTATTAGAACAGCAAAGACCTAAGTATATCAGCACAAGATGATGAACACAAGAAGTGAGGCATTATTTAAGGGTCCCTTGCCTTAAAAAAATACTGTGCAGTCTTTGGGTTTAAGAGAGCCATGTTTGTTACTGGGAAGGCAGGCTGGGGCTTCTGAGCTTGCAGCCAGCTTAGGAAACAATGTGCTGGCTAAGAAGAAAATGCATATAACTTTGAAAATTAAGCCAGGCATCAAATCTAAGGGAGGGTAGAGAAAACAGTATGAGCATGGAATCATCAAAAAGCAGTACAAATAAGACATATCACCACTACAAAGAATAAAGCCATTTTTTTCCAGAGTTTAAGTATAGAACATACCCTGGTTTTCCACACCCAGTAGCAATTTCTTTGTATCTTAATCACATTAGAAAGCAAATAAAGTTAGGACATAAGCAGACTCAAGATGGTTCTCAGCACTTTCAGGAAAGTCCTGCAGACTTTGGATCTTTTACCCCAAATGCATCAGAGTAGAAAGATAATTTTAAGACACACAGAAGTAACAAGCCCATACATGAAACTTCATACTGGCCCAGGGGAGTAAGTCAAGGTCCAATCAATTATCAGTATGTTAATTAGTATAAAATTTAGCAGTCCTGTAGCACAAGTGTAATAGACATCAAGTTATGACCCCTATAGAGCTCCAGTAAGGTGACTAGAAGCTTACTGGATAATAATTCCCTTATATTTGTTTCTTTCAATAACAACATATAATCATTAGCTGCTTTACCTCCCCATGAAGAGTTAGAGAGTTACATAAACCAGTGTGCTCATCTGCTTCAGATCTGCCCTCGCCCTACTGCATACTTGCTATTCTCTATAAATAGCTGTAAATATTAGCTCAAATAAACTATATAGAACTGGTGTCCAAAATTAAACCCTATGGGTTATTACACTTAATCTCAGTAAAGCTGAATTATGGAGCTAATTTGCCATGCCTGTGTCTTTCATATAACCTCTGCTCTGCTGCTGCTCTGAAATTAGATTTGGCTGATGACAGAGTACATCATTCCACAACCTTATGTTATGGAAATATCAGTAATTGCTATTGCTGAGGTCTCAGGGCTAATGACAGAAGTTCTCAAGAAAACACAGTGAAGTCATGCTCAAAAGTATCAGCTTGGACCACTGAGTCTATGCTTATCACAGTCAAATCATGTGAGACAGATTTATTAACCAGTATTAGAACCACCAAGGTTGGAAGGAGGATGCAGAGGTCATCTAGCCTGAGCCACAAGGTCACACCAGGGTAATTCAGGACTTGTCCAGAGGTCCATGCTGGACACCAACACCACTCACAGTGTATGCCATCATCTGCAGAGAGCTGGTAGGGCACGGGATCTTAGCTGTCCTCCTTTTCCAGGTAGTAAAGTATGTTACACAGCTAAAACCAGAATTGTTTCCTAGTCCTGTAGTCTATGCATGTAATTTATGAGGGAGAGGATGCAGTGGATGTGAGGAAGCAGGTGGAATATGAAAGCCTCAGGACAGTCACTCCTTTTTACTGTGTTAACCTGAAGACAGGTTTGTAGGCTATCAACTTCCTTTTCACAAGCTCAGTCTGATATTAGCACAACTAGCTCCAACTAATTTCAGTTTCGCAATTTAATTGTAATTGGAAAACAAAGCCCAAACAAATGACAGAGGAGATGGCTACAATTTCAGCAGCACACTGAAGTAGAGTGATAGCAGAGCTCACTGTCACAGCAACATTGCCTTTCGTAGCTGAACCAACTCAATTAAACCTAGTATTACTCTACATTTTGGTGTAAACATACCCAGGCAAGTACTACAAAGAAATCCTCACAGCAGCCAGAAACTTTAACTCAGAATGCAATACTTTCTCCAGCAGAAAGTATTAATAGATCATGCCCTCCAAAACCGATCATCTCTAAGCATGTTTGTCATCATGTCTAGCCTGTGTCATTATGTTTATGAAAATAAACCTCAAGCCCAGTGTGTTACAAAATATAATCTACATGGCAGAGCAGGCTCATGCCAGTCTGTATGAAGCACTTCATTCACTACTTCAGTCAGGTAAGACACTTACTATTTTATAGTCACACTGCTAAAACCCTTCTTCCCCCACAGGCATTAAGCTGGAAGAGTATGTTCAGCAGAGAGGGATGTTTCAAAGCCAACTTTATACAACAAACTCAAGAGAATAAAGACGACACAGGCTGACACTCAAATTTGTAGGAATTTGGCTTATGAATGTTAAAGCTAACTTCATGGTAGCTAACAAGTTTCATACATCCCTTCCCAATGCATAATAAAGTTGCTAGGGTGTGAAGAGAAACAATCGCAATCTACTGACAGAAATCAGAAAAGTGTACGCGCTTCCTCACTGAACAGTTGTTTATTTTTCTCTCCTGGGAGAGTCATTTTATAAGGTATTAGATAGGAAAGCTTTCGAGTTAAGAATTCAGAAAAAACACTACGACAAGCAACAAAACAGGATTTTAAGTTACAACTGTGAAGTTCAGGTTTTTAACCATCTTAGTTGGCAGTAACAAAATGAGCATACACTACAGCAGCCAAGACCAGAAATTAATAAATACTTACATTATGTGGCAGTAGTTTTGCTCTGCTAGAGCTCTTTAAGAGCTTACTTCTTTTTCAGCCAGTTATTGAGACAGATTTGCCCAGTGGGGCTTGGGTATTGGCCAAGTCTTTTTAAGTCACTGTCTCACATGCCTTTTGAGCAGCTCTTTTTCAAGACTTGTAGGTAGGTGTCTATGCCTGCACATGCCTCTTCTATACTTCAGATATTCCCAGAATTCTGATCAGTATTCCCTCCACTAGCAAGTCAACTTGGAACACCCTGATTATAAAATTCTCTGCCCAATTTAAGATGGGACCTGCAGGGTTAAGAATATCTGTATAGAATAACTACTGTTTCACACATTTTGCTTTGCTATATAAGGTCCATGTACTGCATAATATTAAGCACAGCACCACAGTTAAAATAGAAATCTCACTAACAAAGGACATAACATATTTCCCCAGAGAAATAAACTGCCTATGAGCCTGAGCTCAAGGATAATCACAGGGGACAAACATACTTGAATCAACATTTGTTAGCACACTTCAAACCCTTGGGCTATAAATTCAGACTCTGACTGGACAAACTAGCACTTCTGCCAAAAGATGCAACATAATCTGTCATGCATCTTGAGCTTCTCACTTCCAACACCAGCCACTTACATACACAGCAAAATGCCCCACACTACCTTCCCTAGTGGAGAAAGCATCTCCTGCTCCAACTCTTGGTACAGCCACACAAAGTGAATCAGTTAGAAGAAAAGAACAGGCCTAGGAAAAAAAATTTGGGCTTAACTCCACTAGGTAGGTCCATTCAGTAAGAAACTGACCTGATTCACTTCATGGCTGCATTTGTAGCAAACATTGAAGAAAAAATAGTTAAGTTTGGGAATGGGCAGGAAATAAGCAAACGTTAGCCTTGTACTTTTTAGCAACAAACCTACTTAAATCATTCATGAAATTGCAAGCCGAGTTTTCACAGCTCTGCACGAACTCCATAAATCACCATATTTGAAGTTATCTTCAGTCAGTCATGAACTGGAAAACTTACCTTTTTCACACTATAAATAACATCACACACTTAAACAAAACAAATCATACTACACATCCTTTATTATGTCTGTCAAATACGTTAAGGCTCAGGTGTTCTGTCAGTAGTGCTTTGTGGCTTCTTTGAATTTACTTAGCCCCTTCAGGCAGCCTTCTAGCAAAAAAATATTCTCTTTCCAATTATTCTACTAATTTAGAACAAAAGAATTTATGTTTCAAATCCCTTAAAACAATTAAGTCTAAGTCATGTATAATCCATGAACTGGATTTCCATATAAAATAAACCCAATTAAAAGTAATCTTTTATGTAACTATAATACAATCATCAGATCACATTCCCATTTTTATTAAAGCTCCTTTCCACAGCTTCTGACAAAATAAGTTAGCTTCCCCCTCTTAGGGTCCTTTTCATATTATGAAAAAAAAAAAGGCCAAAAAAAAAAAAAAGCCCAGACATCCACATAAGAGTAAACTGTACTTACCTTATTTTTAAAATACAATGAGTTCAAATTGAGTTGTGCATTACCTTCTCCCTTCCCAAACCAGGAAATTTTTCAAATACTTAGGATACCAAAGTTGTCTTACAGAATTTCAAAAGTGGCAACACCATAGAAAAATAATGCAGTAACAATAAGGCATCCTCCAGCACCAACACTGATGTTAAATTATCCAAAATATTAACTGGGACCACACCAGCAAGCTCTAGAGCAGGACTGTTCCCTTGAGAAGTCTCAGATACTGAGACACAATCAAACCTGAGCTCAAGTTCATGTAACCTTCAGCTAATGCTGATTGCTTGCCACGTCCATTTATTCCATTTATTTAAAGTTCATCCAAACATTATCCGTGTTCCTATATCATTTCTGAATTTGGTGTAAGGTTTTGACCCTGAACTTTCAAGTCAGAAAATATATCATGCAGAACAGAGAACCCCAAGAGTGCAGCACTACTAACCCTTGGAAAGCCACTGCAGCCACTGCCCTTCCAGACACTGCACATCACTTTACACCGATGCAAGTTACTTCAAATTTCTACTCCTGTGGTCCAGGGGTGCAATTTGGGACAGTTCAAAATACGAGGCAAACACCCTTCCCAATGGAACAGATCAGCTCATGTCAGTGCTCAATGCTGCAGATACTGTAATCAAAAGCTCTGTAGAGATTCCAAGTGGGAGCTAAATATTCAATCTGTTACC